AGCAACGGCTGCCGACCACCACTGAAAGAAAAAACAACGCCCGTCGTCAGACCCTCCCACCCTAGCATTAGGGACAAACAAGATCCAAGGGAGATCACTCAATGCAGACCTCAGGCCCATCCACCGCCAAGACAACAGACATGCCGTGGAAGACAAGTGTACCACCCAGCCGCTAGAACCGCTGACAAAACACGTCATGCCCACCGATTAAGATGGAGAAGTACCATGCCGGACAGAGGAGCAAACAACCTGACGGGCGGCTCATCACCACCCCGATGCAGGTCATCGGTGGAGAAGAGAAAAGTGGCAGAGGGGAGGCGAAGGAAGACAGGAGAAGACGCCGAGTAGAAAAATTTGGTCGGATGAACAGTAAAGTGGGGGCGAACAACTCTCTAATTAACTGGAATGCTCCCAAATAAAACTTGAGCATAATCAGTGAGATCCCTCAATAGTTCGAGTCTTTCTTCAAAAGTTATACAAGTGTGCGATCAGAAGCGGGTGACAGACTAGCGACGAAGGTGGGCCGATGACAGAGACGAACCAAGTGTGTGATGATGGAGGTGGTCTAGAGACAAAATGGAGGGTGACAGAGAAAGAGATGGAGACAAACGACTAACAATACGATGATGGCCTGAGATTGTTGCCTTTCGGGCGTAAATACCTTATATTCAAATTTTAAGAAAAAAAAATAACACAAGATGAGAATTATACCACATAAACTATCCAATCTCTACAGGCAAACGTATAAATCACGTCTTTCAAATCCCATCTATATAAGGAAATGAAGTCCGGACTGGACCGAAAATTTCAGAACTTCAGAGCACCTATAATGCATTGGGTCTATTTTTGCATGTGTGGTAAATAAATAGACTTAAGTCTATAATGATATGGACAAACCCAAGCTAAAAAATCCAAAATCTATCCAATGCAAAAAAAAATAATAGGTATAGAATACCTAACAACCAATAAAAATATAATAATAGTAAATGATTGATGATTGTACATGTTCACACTTGGTCCAAAATAGATCTAAGAGTGGACTTGGTATCTTTTTTTTTATTGTCACATAAGCTAGAGTAGATTCACTGTTAATTGCATTGTGAAACATTTTTTTATAGACTATATCTATTTCTTTCATGACATGTAATTGTTTTTTTGTTAAGAAACCCAAAACATTGTAGTGCTCCAGTAAATGCAACCCGTCGTCGTTCGAATCTCTGCAATCTCTGATGAGCGATAATCAAACACCACATTTTGTGAACATTAAAAAAAAAGGAAAAAAGGATAACTCATCACCATGTCAATGTCCACCAAAATACCTCACTCACTTCTCTTTCGCCGCCTCGCAGCTCCATTCCTGAAATCCTCGAAAACCCAATCTTATTCTTCTCTCCAAATCCCTAATTTATTCTTCTGTAAGCCCATCACTTTCCAAAGATTATCAACCAACCGACCGGTTTTTTCATCTTCGCCTTCAGCTTCTATGCAGCCCTCAGCTTCTATCCAGCCCATTGAGGAGCTTCCCCCTAAGCTCCAAGAAATCGTTAACCTATTCCAAGGAGTTCAAGAACCGAAAGCCAAGTACGAGCAGCTATTGTTCTACGGCCGGAATCTAAACCCTTTGGAACCCCAGTACAAAACAAGCGAGAACAAGGTACAAGGCTGCGTTTCCCAGGTTTGGGTCCGGGCATATCTGGATGATAACAAAAATGTCATCTTTGAAGCAGATTCGGATTCGGTTCTCACAAAAGGGCTGGCCGCGTTGCTAGTCCAAGGCCTTTCGGGACAGCCCGTGGAGGAGATTGTGAAGGTATCACCCGATTTCGTGGTGCTTTTAGGGTTGCAGCAGAGCTTAACCCCATCCAGGAATAACGGGTTCTTGAATATGTTGAAATTAATGCAAAAGAAGGCCCTGCAATTGTATGTTGAATACGAGAAGGCTGATAGTTCAAGCAGTGATACAGCTGAAAAGGCCCCACTTCACAGTCTTAGTTCTGTGCCGATAGATGATGATATTGGAAATGGTGGGGTCAAGTCTAGTGAAAAAGATAGTGATTTGAGGGAGGACTCTAGCAGTGGAAGTGTATTGGGGAATAGGGGGATGAGGATAAAGGAGACTCTAGAGAAAGAACTGAGTCCTGTTAAGTTGGAAATTGAGGATGTTTCATACCAGCATGCTGGCCATGCGGGTGTCAGAGGAAGTGATGGCGAGACGCATTTCAATGTAAAAGTGGTTTCTCAAGAGTTTGAAGGCAAGAGCTTGGTTAAGAGGCATAGATTGATTTACAGCTTGTTGCAAGATGAGTTGCAAAGTGGACTTCATGCTTTGTCGATTACGGCAAAGACACCGGCAGAAGTTGGTGAGTCTATGAGAAGTTAAGGTTCTGATTTTGCGATTTCTGTTTAGAACGATGCTCGTGCTTTAAAATTATTTCGACCATTTCTCGTGTAGTTGTTTGAAGAAATAATGGAAGTGAAACACTGTGTCTTCCTTTCGTTGGAATCCTTGATGACATTTATATCTGATGGATGCAATGGTGTATTTGTGCTTAATCTTCAAGCCTGCAATTAGTTTTAGTATCTACCATTTTCTGCCTATGCTGGTACTGGTCTTCATGCATTTGAAAATATGGCTTAATTTATATTTTAGAAACCTGTATAGTTACATTTATACCTTCTTTGTCGAGAGCTGTTAGACTATATTTTTTTCTAATCTAACTTGCTTTCGAGGATAGAAAAGTCAAGGTCAACTTTTATTTTGATTTAGGCATGAACTTTCTTGACTCCTAAATATACTTCATTGCTGTCATATCACGGTCTACTAAATTCCCAGTATTACTTGATACCGGGTTTGCTTGTGGGTAACTGGGTATGTCTCATGCTATTTTCATTTCAAGATATAAGGAAACCCAGACAAGGTTTAAGTGACTGAACCATGCTAAGAGAGGCTGAAATGTCTGATATGAAATTGTATGCTTTTCTCCCCCTTTTATTTTTTGGGCCTTTATGTCACTGATGCCAGTTTTTCTTTATATTGTTCTTTCACTGTCTCTGATCCAAAGTTATAGTGATTTTGCCTTATAAATCAGAAAGGAGCCTTGCTATAAACTAACAAGCAAAAGAGAGATACCAAACCACTAGACATCACGACAATAGCTAGGATCTGTAGTTTCACTATCAACACCAACTTATCAACAAAAGAATAGGCAAACAGAAAAAGTATCCATCCCCTGAGCAAACTGCCCCTAGATAAACACTACCAGGCAAACAAAAAAATAAAAAAATTGTAGTTGAGCCTACTTCAAGTGTGAACCTGATCAGGATTGCTCCTACCTAAGCCAAAGCCCTTCTATCTTTTCTTCATACCTTAAAGGGTACGTTTGCAAGAATGGATAAGCAATGATAAGATTTAGTTTGCATGCTTGTAAAGCTTGAGACCAGTCCGTGGTTATCCCGAAGCCCATGAGTCTTTTGGATTTTTTCTGGAAGACAAATCCGTACCCAGGGGTGAGATGATAATCACACTAATTAATGTCAAGTGATGAAAAGTCCATAATGCCTTTAATTTAACAGATAAATCCAGGCCAACCCATCAACACGGGAACTTGTTTACCAATTTATTTTGGCCCATTTTCTTTCTCATTTGCGAACACATTTTTTCGTGGCGAATCTTGAGGATTTTGAGCAATGGAGATAGACTATATTTACGAGTTTCTTTTCTCTTTTCTATCAGTAATTGAAGTGTTGTGCGGATCCTCTTCAGTTTGATTCTACCATCTTGAGCTTCTTTTTCAGTTTGATTTGTGGTTGGCTTTTCCGTTAACTTGTTATTTGGGTGCTTGTGGGATCCCTTGGTCGTGCAATCTCTTTCACCTAATAATAAATCTTTGATTGAAAGAAAGTGATGTGTCTTTAGTTTGGTTTACATAGATGTGTATGAAGTTGCTGATGTTTGGAAAAACATGAAATTGAAATAGTTCCTCCTTACATTTCATAGTTATTTTTTTTTTTCTTTTTTGATTTCTTTTTTTCCTCATTTATATATCCATCAAACCCTGGTTCTGGGCCGCGGTTTGAAGGAACTTGAACCGGCGGTTCCAAGTCGGTTCAATGAACCGTCAGTTTGGGGGTCGGTTCAGCCCGTACCGGGTCGAGTCGGTTTTTATTTAAAAAGAAATAGTGGCAAAATAATTATTTTATGGAATTATATGGTAGTCAAATCGAATTTCAGAATAGAAAATTGAAAACACTTTTTTTGAAATGAATATAATGTAATATATTAACAATTACGTGTAAATACGAGTTGTGTACTAATTTTAAATATGCACAATTTAAATTTCATATAACGTTTTTAATAAATTAATATAGTTAAATTCTATTGCATATTGATTTTATATTTTTAATTTATAAAAATTATTTAATGAGCATTTTTTATTTATAAATATTACTATTTCCTATTCTTCTTAAATGTTATTTTGGCTTTATCATCCATTAATCAAATAAATGAAGTTTTTGGAATTTTTTTACATATTTTTTCATTATTACCATCATTAGTTAATAAATACACTATGTCTTTGCATATCTAATCTTAATTTTCACTTTATTATTTTTCACTAAAGAAGGTTATTATTAGCAAAAAAAACTTAATTATTGTGCAACTTCTCAAAACGACACTTATTATGAATAGAAGAGAGTAATTAATATCTCTTACCCGTGCATCACTTGAGATTTGTATTAGTTTAATATAAACTTGAAATCTCACTAATAGCTAATCATATCACTTTTTTCAAAATTAACCATAATTAATAAAAAAAACTCGTTTTGAGTCAATACATTTATATCCAATCACGCCCTAAGTCACTTGATTTCTTCTAGTAGAAGGAAACAAATATAAATAATATCTAAGATAAATTTAGATAAAAAATACACAAGTAAACTAATAATGAAGTTAATATTTTATCTTGTTTGTTTATGAAGAATCCTACAATAAATAAATTAGATTAAATAATCTGAGAATAATTCAAATTATGTCAATTAAATTATAACACTACTAAATTTCATATTATATGATTATAAATATATAGCGTAGGACAATGTTTTGGTTTTTAAAAAATCTCTTTTATTGGCACCACACTGCAGTGATGGATCTAGGAATTTCACTCAGGGTGTCCGATTTTAAATGTTAAAACGAGCTTGTAGTTTAAGCCAAACACTCATTTCATGTAAAAGTGTATTTACTATAAATATAAATATTGATATGTGTACCATCAAGTTTTTATAAAACTTAGAATCCGTATCACTCTCAAACTTTTGAAAAAGTTATGAACAAAAAAAATATGAGATTTTATGTATTTATAATTTAAGTTCAACATCTATAGTTTAAGGAAAAATAAGATTTTGTTTTTTAAAAAAAATTGATTTAGATTGAACTTTTGCAGCACATTGCATAACATTTTTGTTGATAAAAACTTATCAAATAAGCATTGTCTTAAGAAGAAAATAACTTAATTTAAAATACGTGATTACACATAAAAGAAAAAAAGTAAAAAACCAACATTCTAAAATGTAACAATCCAACTATATATTGAATTTTATAAATTACTAAATCGATTTACAATTAAGAGATCGAAAATCATTATAAATATTTTAAAAAACTTATCTAGAAATGTAAAATATAAAGATTGTTAGTACATTTTTTAATAACTAAATTATATTAATAATTTAAATTAAATTAACATAAAAATAAGTTTTAATTATTAATATATTGTAAATATTTTTTTACATTTTTATACATATTTTATAGTATTTTCTTTTATATATATATATATATTATATATATATATATATATTGATTTAAAAAATATGAGGAGGGCCCATGGACCCTGGGCCCAATACACCTCCGTCATTGCCACACTGTAACTCTTCGATTTCGGAGCTAGCCTAAAAAGTAAAAATCTCATCCAAAGGACCCCACGGCTTCATTAGATAAGCAATAATGGCGTGTCACCCCGCACAAGGACGACAGCGGAAATGAAACGTCGTCAATTTCACTATTTGGAATATCAAACGAGCCGAGAAGACACAGTACAGTAGTAGCCAAAAGGGAGTGAAATTACTTTATACTCAGAGAATGAGTGATATATGGAGAAGACGAGAAGAGAGGTGGATAAATCACTACTGTTCTCGGCACATTATACTGTTAGTAGGCGAAGGCGATTTCTCCTTTTCTCGTGCCCTGGCAATGGCTTTTGGTTCTGCCACCAACATCGTCGCCACTTCTTTCGACACTCACGGTACTTTAATTTTTTTTCCCCCCCGATTTTTCCGTAGATCATCTTGGTGTATATTGGTATGGCAGTATATTTTTCTGGAATTTTATCGTCTTTTCTCTCTTTCTTCCTATGGGTTCGGAGAAGGTAAAGAGTTGCCTCGGGTTCCTTTCCAAAGAATATTACAGATGGGATCATTTTGCTAAATGTTGGATCACTTTTACTGCTGTGAAAACTGAAAATACTGGCATTGTTTATGATTTTCTCATGATCTAAAGCTTTATTTTTATATTATAAGGACAATAAAGTTAATTTAAACATATTTCTTTGTGACGTTCACGTTGCCTATAAGAAATAAATCGTAGTTTGAATATTTATTAGTTTGGTTGGAAGTGATTTCAGATATATAACATTGTTTCTTACTAAATGTGATCTTGTTTTTGCCAAGTGTAATTTCCCATGTTCCAATTCTTTTTGTGTAATGAGGAATTTCTTCAACTTAACCAGACACATTGATGACGAATTACAAGAATGCTTATGCAAATTTAGCAATTTTGGAAACAATGGGAGCAACATTGATACATGGAGTGGATGCAACCCAAATGAGGACTCATCCTCATCTTCAGTTTCTGAAATTCCACCGTATTATTTATAACTTTCCTCATGCTGGTTTTCATGGGAAAGAAGATAATCCTGAACTCATACAGTAAGCATCTATTTTCTTGGATGGGAAGTTTCTACCTGACTGATACTTGGTGTTTGGGGTTATTATGTCTGGCATTACTTTATTAAGAATTCTTTCGTGAAATGATTTTTCCTTTTCTTTGGATTGCTTTTTCTGATTTAATTTTAAAAACATGAATTAATTGATGTCAATGTTGTTTAAAGTTGCAGAATTTTGTCCATTATCTAGTAGTGGATACACCGATATCCACTACATGATAAAGGCTAAGTGCAAAAGCTAAGGGCTCCAGCTAGTAGCTGCATTAATAATCTTTTGGGCATTAGTGGGTTTGCTTTATATTTTATTATCAATAATGGTTAGCTTATTGAATCTAGAGAAAAAAAAAAAATTGCTTCCATGAATCCGATTCAGTACTTGATTCATGATTATGGGTGTTAATCGAATATTGGCTGAAGAGTGTTTGTATAAAATTAGCTAACCATGGTTCTTGTTGTTTTATTACTGCTCCAAGCATTTCTTGAATAGACATAAGCATCCAACTATTTGCATTTTCATTCCTTAACCTTTTTTGCCCCCTTTTCCCCCCTTTCTTTGAGCATCTATTGAAACTTTCCAACTTCCACTTTACAGGTTGCACAGGAACCTTGTCCATGGATTCCTGACAAATGCAAGCACCATGCTATGCCAGGAAGGCGAAATCCACATCACTCACAAAACCACGACCCCATTCAACTTCTGGAAAATCGAGGATCTTGCGCTCAAATGCTCTCTGTTTTGCATCGGCCAAGACAATTTCAAAATCGAAGACTATCCAGGTTACCAGAACAAAAGAGGTTCGGGCCCTAGGCCCGATGAGCCCTTCCTTCTGGGAGAGTGCTGCACGTTTAGGTTCAAACGATTTTCGGACGAGTGCCGTTGGATATTTGGCCGCTATCTTGATCACGTGGAGGACACGTTTGGGAGGAATATAAGTAGCGACGAAGTTTGCTTTGTTGTTCGTGAGGCGTTGAGTGTTGGGTACGAGACATATATGGGGCAGGGAAGGTCCCTAAAGGGCTTTATCGACATTTTGGAGGAGCTTCATGCTATTAGTGCTTTGAGGACCAAGAGATTGTTGCAGAGGCTATCACGTCTTGACCGATCAGTTGACTTCAACGAGTGGGGTCCGTGAACTCAGTATCTTTTTTTATCTTTGGTTTAGATTATCTGGAACTTCTGTGGATGCGTTTTTTTTTTTTATTTGTTCCCGATAATTTCATGTGATCCGTTTTGCTGAAAGTCTTGTGCGTCTGTTATAAATATCGTATCTGACTTTGATGGACTGCTCAATGATTGGCATTGGCAGTAACTGTTCGAATGTGTTCCAGATTTTAGTTAACAAATCGTGAAGCCGAAGAAGGGGGCAAATGTTCATATATATACTGATTTTATATGTATTTATTTTGATGATTTTTCTTAGGGATGAAAACGGAAACGGTAATTTCCGATTACCGAGAATCGTTTTCGAAATTTTTTCGGATTTGGAGGCTAAACGGAAACGGTAACGGTAACCGGAAAAACGGAAATGAAAACGGTAAAAAAATTCGAAAATGAAAACGAAAACGGTTTAGCCCTTTTCCGATCGTTTTCGAAAATTACCGTATTTAAATGGTATTTTACCGTCGGTAATACCGGCCTAACTCATACTAGGCTCACTTTTAATTATAAAGCCCAATCCAAATCCCAAATGGGCCAAATGCCCAAATCCCCTTCAGCCCAACCCTGTGCCCAAATCCTGAAATCCCCTTCACCCCTTTCGGTCTTCACTCTCGAAATCCTGAAATCCCCTTCAGCCCAACCCTATCATCTCTTCCATCGGCCGACGGCCATCGCAATTCGCCGCGCCTGCTCGTCGTCACTCCCGTCACCTGCTCGTCGCCGCCGCGGCCCACTCCCATCAACGTCGCAACCGAAATTTTGTTTGTTGTGGTTTTTTTGTGGTTTGTGTTTTAGTGATTTGTGTTTTGAATTCTGGATTTTGTTTATTGTGGTTTTTTTGTGGATTTGGTGGTTCCATGGTTGATTTCTCACCTAATTGTTCCCATTTCATGTTTCAAATTTCAATTGCTACTATTATTCCGTGAGAATTTGATGGACAAGTCACAATTCAATTGCTAGTTATTGGAATTTGTATGGATTTTGTTATAGCAAATGGTATGGATTTTAATTTGGATTTTGCCACTATTATGCCGTGAGAATATTTCAATTTATGTTTTAATGCTATATTTTATAATGTGGTGTGTTTATCGTTTTTTAAATACCGTTTTAATATATTTCGATTGTTATCGATGTATTTTCGATCGGATAGTTTCGTTTTCGATATTACCGGAATACCGGTGTCGTTTTCGTTTCCGACATTATCGTATCATTTTCGTTTTCGAGAAAAAAATATGAAAATGGAAATGGTTGAGCCCTATGCCGATCGTTCCCGATTGTTTTCATCCCTAATTTTTCTGGTAAGCTTAGAACATGGTTTCAGGAGAGTGAATAAGTTTGTTGGAACTGTTTCTAATAAGTAATAAACCTTATGAAGAAGACTGACGATCATTTTACATAAAGTAATGAATGCATGAACAAAAATGGTAGTAATGGTGTGTAGCTGATTATATATGATATAACATCCAAAGTAGTTCGGTGGACTTGTCTGAGCGGTTATAGGTCGGGTATGGTTGGTCCAAGAGAGTTTTAGCTCGATTACTATAATTAATAAATATATTGTAAAGATTTAGGAAACATTTATAAGAGATATTCAAGTAAGTTCAGTGATGCTGTATGACCACTCTTTGGTAAATTGATATCTATATATTGAAAGAGGTTGATGTTTACTTCAAAAGTAGAAAATTTACTTTTTTTTTTAAAAATAGTTTGACTTACTTATAAAAAAAATAATAANTAGGAAACATTTACGTAAATAAATCTATTTAAAAATGCAATTATGTTTAAAAATGGTATACAACAAGTTTTGGTATTACGTTTTCCACAATAAATTTGAAGATTTAATAGTAGTCATTTACATCAATATCTCAAATATTTGCAGTATTTTAATATTTTAATAAGATATCATCATCATATTTAAAGGTTATGTTCCTCAAATGATTAATGATAAATGCTAATTTTCTACAGTGAAAATTGCAATATAAACTGATATAAAAATGTTATTATAAAACTTTGCGGTAACCACTATTTAAATACATGACGTACTGTACAAACAATAAATATGACGTACTGGTACATACTAAACTATAAACCAATAAAAAATAATTAATGCACTTATTATAATATCATAAACAATATTTATTGCACTTATCATACAACAATAAAATATTTTTTCATATGTTGCCTATATATTGATACATATTTATATTTTATTGTATATTTGTAGCATGAATGTTACTTAAAATTAATACACAATATTTGACAAAGTTTAATACATACTATTCAAGAAGAAAATATAATATTTTAGATACTTTCAAATATGTTAACTAAGTTGTATTAAATAATTTCCTATAGACAAATTTAACGTGAATTTACACATTAAGTTAAGAATTTATTTAAGAATAAGTGAGAAAATTTATTTTATGAACATTTTTGAAAAAAAAAAATTGTAAATTTTAAAAAGTATATTACCATTATTTCTTAATAATAAGTTTAGTTTTCATAATAAATTATAAAAGATAAATATAATTAATATACAATTCTTTCACAAGTTTGGATTTTGTCGCAACTTAAATGAGTAAGTGAAAAAATTATTTGAATTATTTTTAGTAGGAACATTTTTCAAAAATATTTTAGTAAATTTTAAAAATTATATTACCATATTTCCTAATAATACGTTTAGTTTTTTAATAAATTATATAAGTTAAATATAATTAATATACAATTCTTCGACAAGTTTTGATTTTTTTGTAGCAAATAACAATTTTAATTGATTTTTTTTACGTATATTGGTTATTTTATCGATAATTTAAGATTTGAATATTTTGTTGCATATTACAATTTTAGTTGACCTTCTTACATATAATAATTATTTAATTGGGTAACTTTAACAGAAAATATACAAAATAATTTTACTAATTAGTTCATGATGAAAGAGATGCAAAATAATATATATTTTAAAACATTATTAGGCTATAAATAAATTGGAGCAAAATGTCGATTTCAGTTAATTCAATGCCAAATTTTGTTTTATTACGTTTAAAATTTACAAATTTTTTTATGAAGATGTTATTTGTATAATTATATATATTTTTTAATTTATGGATTGTCAAAATCAAACTAATAAATAAAAACTTATTAAATATTCTTTCTTAAAAATTGACAATGATAAAAAAAATTAGACTAGAATTTTTTTTATTTGTATTATTTCGTAGTGTTTGGAAAGATATATAAAATTACCACATTATGCTAATTTTTAATAGTGTAGACTGATTAGTTCTATGGTAAGCATACTCACCCTTTTTCGTATTTTGATAATTTAGAATATGTCTTTTGGTTTGCTTTATTTAATTAAAATGATATAATTTCAATTATCTTTTAATTTAAATAATATTTAAGTTTGACTTATATAACTTAATTAATATAATATGGAAATTTTATTTGATGTAAATAATATTTAACATCGTTACCAATATTGTCGATGCAATGACGGTAAAAAATAAAAAAAAAATAAATGCTAATCATTTAACAATTCTATGGTTACTTTTCAACCCAATATTGAAATTTATCAACACCCAAATAAATATTTCACATAATTTTTATTTTTATATACAATTTTTTCAATTGTATGACTTATCACAAAAAATGAGTAAATCATAGTTTCTCAATATTTAGTTTATAAAACTAATTTTAATATTAACACGATTTTTATTTTTCATATTTTATTCCCGCATCAAAACTATAATAAAACTATTTTTTGTATTGCTATCCTGTGTATCACACGGGATCAATGGTAGTGGTATATGCTCCTGCAAAAGTGCATATATGAATAAGTTCATATGAAATGATAGATAATTAAGGAGCCTAATAATTACCTATATAATACATTAACTGAATCAATCTTGGGAAGGCAATACTATTAAGAAGCCCAGCGACTGGCGTATGATCTTCATTGCCACTTGAATTACTGAATTAGGTACATTCGTATATATATGTTCCCAATCCTAATTAATTATCCAATGATGTCAGTAAAATGTAATTAATATAAATAAATGAAAATTAAAACTATTCACATTCTGCCACTCAAGAGTCTTACTGATCATATATATATATATATATATGTATATACACACACACTGATCAGACAACCATAGATTGAATGAATAATTAATGTACCTATAAACTTGGATTAATTACAGCATGATGGAGGAAATTAAATGGATTAAGCACTATGGCAGTCATCACAAGATATTGCTTGTAGGCGAAGGAGATTTCTCTTTTGCGGCATCATTAGCCTCAGCATTCGGCGATGCTTCTAATAACGTCTCTCGACTCTGAGGGTATGTAAATGCAGCAATTAGCTGGCATTTAAAATTAATATATTTATATGAAGTTGATGATTAGATTCATATACAGCAAATTTCCTTATTTTTTATTTAATAACATTTAACTGTAACCAAATTCAGTGGTGTTGGAGTCTTGGAGATAAAGCATCCTACTGCTGAAGCAAACGTGGGTTTACTTAAAAGCAAGGGTTGTACCGTAATTCATGAATTGAATGCTTGTACCATGAGCCGACACCCTCAACTCGAGCACATGGAATTCGATAGAATCGTGTATAATTTTCCTCATGCTGGCTACACTTATAACTCTGAGCGCAGCCCTTACCAAATATCGTAAGTTTTTTAATCATGTATACGAGAGCAACTCAAGTTTTCCTGTAGGAGAATGTTCAACTTTCAAGTTCACCAAGTATATTTGAGTTACACATCAATATTCAGTATTTTACATTACCTTATTCAGATCTCTTGCGTTATTATATAAACCAAGTCTGTAGTGTTATTAGAGTATCTCTAATGCATTCGTTTGAAAGAGTCAAAAGTTATCCACCTCATTTAGATAGAAAGTGTGTCAATAATTTATCTTCCAATGCATTAAATACGCGTCCTTTCAGGTTTATGTGTAAAAAATTAATGCTAACATTTTCATACATTCTTTCTAACATGAGGACTCATCATTTGAGTAATTATATGACACAAATTACGGTAAAATTTTGAGCTTTTTATAAACTTAGAAAAATCCCACCCTTCCATTAATCCAAGAAAAATCTTGAGAATTTATTTGAATACAGTATAATGATCATTTGATGAGTTACTACTGAAATCAATTTAAAAAATTTATCAATAATAATGTCCTAAAAAGCAAAATAATGTGTTCATAATACTTG